CCCTGGGGGTGCCCCCATTAACCCCCCTCCCCTCCACACCCCTGGCGGGGTCACTCACTGCCTCCCCCTCCTCTCCCTGTCCCTCAGGGTGTCCCCCATCAACTCCCCTGTCCCCTCCACGTCCCTGGGGGTGCCCCCATTAACTGCCCCCTGTCCCAGGGGGTGTCCCCTCTCACCCCTGTCCCCCGTGCCCAGGGTGCCATGTTCCGGTGCAGTGCCCGTTGCTGTGAGGACGGCTCAGCCTCCATGCAGGAGGTCCAGCGCTGCATCGAGCGCTGCCACGCGCCCCTGGCCCAGGCCCAGGCCATCGTCACTGCCGAGCTCGAGCACTTCCAGGTGAGACATTCCCCCCCCAGTGCCAGCCCCGTGCCCCCCAGCACACCCTGAACCAGCCCTGCCCACCCCCACACCCTGTGCAGGGCCTGACCCCCCCAAATCTCTGCACCCCCTCACTGCATGTCCTGTGCCCCCTAAATATGCCCTCTGCCCCCCAGTGCATCTCCTCTGCCCCCAAAACACCCTGTGCCCCCCATTGTATCTCCTGCATCCCCCAACATTCCCTGTGCCCCCACGTGTCCTGTGCCCCCTGGACATGCCCTGTGCCCTCCATCCAGTGCATCTCCTGTGCTCCCCAACACCCTGCGTGCCCCCCAGCACCTCCATACAGCCCATGACCCCCCCAAATCCCTGTTTCCCCCCCAGGACCGGCTGAGCCGCTGCTCCCTGCAGTGCCGGGACCAGGCGAAGGACGCGCTGGACTCGGGGGGCTCAGAGCCCAAGGTGAGGGGGCAGCTGGACGCCTGCCTGGCCTCCTGCGGGGACCAGCACCTGCGCCTCGTGCCCCTCATGGCCAGGAAGATGAGGGACGGGCTGGCTGCCATCCAGCAGTGATGGGGGGGCACTGAGGAGACCCCCCCCAACGGCCTCATCAAAGGAGAGCAGCTGCGGGGACCCGGGAATTCCCAAAGTGCAGCTGGGACACACTGAAGGACATTGGTACCACCCAAACCCTGCCTGGGACCCCCCAAAATATACTTGGTACAACCCAAAACTCACCTGGGACACCCCCCCCCCCAAAATACACCTGAGCTGGCTCTGGCTTCTCCTGCACCCCAAAATACAGCTGGGACACCCCCCCAAATACACCTGGAAATTCCCAAAACACGCCTGGGATACACCAAAAGATATTGGTACAACCCAAAACTCACCTGGGACCCCCCCAACTGGGATTCCCCAAAAACACGAGGGGCCCCTCCCATGGGTGCTGGGGGTGTCCTGAGTGGGTGGGTGAGGGTGGGGCTGGTGGGCACCCCCATCTTGGGGGGCTCGGGGGAGGATGGGGCACACAAGTGGGGCTGGTGGGCACCCACAGTGCGCCCCCAACTTGGGCTCGGGGGGCTGTGGTGGGGAGGGTGGGGCTGGGGGCACCCATGGCCCTGCTTGGGCAGGGGGAGCCCAGAGCGCTCTGTGCGGGGCGATGCTGGTGTGGGGTGACCCCAAATGTGCTGGGGGGCGGTGGGGGGGGTCTGCAGGGCCCAGGGGGACCCCCCCCGTGTGTGTGTACACAGCGTGGGACGGCTCCTGCACACGGGCACAGCCCCGGGGTGAGCCCCAGCCACACACACATTGCACACATGTGGACACATGTGCACACACACCGCACACGTATGGACATGGGCACACATGTATAATAAACATGTACACATATATAATAAACATGTACACATATACGCACACACCCTCTACACACCTACACACATG